TCATTATTGTTGATTTGTGTTTACTGAGTCTTTTTTACTTACTTATTTATTTTGGACGCTTGGTTTTTAAAATTACTTTTACATGTGGTAACTCTGAAATTTACCTTTATCTTCCTAGTTTTAAAACTGTTGGGGATTGTCTTAGGTTTCTCTCTGTGTGGAAATCCTGTAACAACACCATTTATTCCCTTTTTGGTTTGACGTTATCGTCATTTACAAATCTTTATCTCTGGTTCCCTCTTTATAGTTTTACAGCTCTGTTCTACTGTTCCGATTACTTTATCTGGTTTGGTATTTGGTTGCTGCTGTCATGTGACCTGTGTTTCAGATTGTTGTCTGATGTCATTGGTTGTCTGTGTAAAAGATTCTCTTTAATATTTATAGTAAGTTTGGTCTGAATTTTACAGATTCTCTTAATTTGTATTTGTCTTGGAAGTCTTAATTTCACAGTATTTCAGTGGGAGTTTTTTGTTTGTTTGTTTGTTTTTACAAGCTATGATTCTTTATTGGCAATTATTTTCTTTCAGAGTATTATTCATATCATCCCATTGTCTTTTTTTTTTTTTTTGATATTTCTTTATCACAGTTGGAGTTTTATTTCTGATGCGACAGTTACACACTCAGTCAAATGTTCAGATCTTTTCCACACAATTAAGTTTGATCTCTTGTCAAGAATTTAAATGAAAGATCATTTAAATTCATTTTTCTTTACAAAACAGATTTTGCTAATTTATATAATGTAATTAAAATGTTACCACAATGCAGTTACTCCTGGAAGTAATTCTTAACAGATTCTCATTTTTGCAAAATAGATATGTCTCATTTAACTTTTATGAAAAATGATGCATCATTAAAATTGGTTTCAACTACTACTCTCTAATTTTCAATGGTACATTGAGTGTCCATCATTCCTAGCTCTTCTCTAATATATAACCTGGTTCCCAACCACGTCATTGTCTCTGCCTCCATCTCAGGCATCACTGCTTCTCTGGGTAGGGTCCCGCTATCTGCTCTTCTCCATTAATGGTCCTAGGGACCCATGGTCTTTTTGCCTGTCTGATTCTGCTGAAAAATCAGTACCGAGTTTCATTGGTGCTCCTTTGTAGGTGATACTTCATTTTTTCAAGAGCTGCTTTCAAAATTCTTTCTTTGTCTTTGGTTTTAGATAATTTAACTTTGTTTTGTGGTATATATATCGTAAATATAAACCTCAAAACAGTTATCATACTCAAATTTTCTAAAACCAAAATCATGAAATAATTATGTTTTGATATATATATATAGGTATCTATCTATCTATCTATCTATCTATCTATCTATCTATCTATCTATCTATCTATCTATCTATAGACTGCAAAGTTGCAAAGTCAGTTTGAACTGCAAGATCAGTGGTCCAAGCTTACCAGCTGCTCCTCAAAAATCCCATACAGGTTCCCTATGAATCGGAATCAACTTGAAAGCACATGACGACATATCCTAAGTGGTATTCCTTGAGCTATTGGACAGAAATTTTCTAGTCTTTCATATTAGGCAAGTTTTCTGCCAATACATTTGCAAAGATGATCTGCATTTTATGATCCTGTTCTTCAGTTTCTATATGTATAAATTATTCTTTTAAGAGTGTCTCCAATAACTCTGGTAGTGTAGTGGTTACGAATTGGGCTGTGAACTGCAAGTTTAGCAGTTTGAAACAGCTGTTCCATGGGAGAAAGATGAGGCTTTCTGCTCCCGTAAAGATTTACAGTCTTAGAAACCCTATACAGGGTCACTGTGAGTTGGAACTGACTCCACGGCATATAACCACCACCACCAATAACTCTTTGCTTTTCTTATTTTTCTTCATTCCTTTAGTTCTGATTGTTCCTTTAATAAATTACCATCTGTTCAGTATTTTGTTTAGTCTTTCTTCCATTGCTTCAATTCTACTTCTGTGTCTTTCCATTGAGTTATCTCTTTCTCATATTTTATTGTTAATCTGGTTTTATAGTTGTTGTTTTAGTATGGTTTCTAATTCTCTGTATATTTTGCCCTTTTGGTCTTGGCTGGTTTTCCTGAATTCTTCTAGGGCTTTGCCTGTTTTTGCCCTTGATCTCTCTGAGGATCATATATATAAGTCTTTTGGATTCCTTATCAGGTAGTTGTATTAATTTGTTCATCAAGAAAGCTTTCTGATCCTTTATTTTTTCCCATTCTTTGAGCCATTTTATCTTGTTTGTTCATATGATTTGGTATTGTCTAAGGAGCTCTGGTAGCGTAGTGGTTACGAATCGGCCTGCGAACCTTAAGGTCAGCAGTTCAAAACTACCAGCCACTCCGCGGGAGAAAGATGAGGCTTTCTACTCCGTAAGGATTTACACCCTCGGAAACCCTGTACAGGGTCGCTATGGGTCGGAACCGACTCGAAGGCACTTACAACAACAACAACATTGTCTCTGAGGCTTTGAAGTGTTTATTTATTTATGTATTTCCTTTTTGACTGTACATTTTTTTTTTGGATGTGATTTGAAAAAAAAGTAAGTTTTGATGTAAGCAGAACTTTGTTTCTTCTCTTTCTCTTTACAAAGTCTTTCTTTCTTTGTATTTTAGCTTCTGTTATTTTGTGGTCCTGGTCTGTGTGCAACTTTGTTAGTGTCTGTTGGGTGGTGTGACTTCCTCTCACTGATGGACATGGTCAGCTTCACCCAGTCTTTTGTTTTTAGGCTCATGTGTTTTCCCTTTAAGAATTAAGTGAAGGTAGGAGAGCAGGTCTTTTCCTGAGACTGGCTTTCCTAGTGTTGGTGGTCAGGGTCCTTTTACGGCTTTGTGGAACATGAGGTCCTTCTGGGTTGGTGCTAGTAGTTAGCACATTCTTTAGAGATCAGGCCTGGATACCTCTGTATCTGCTAAGAGGGAGTGTTACCCACATGAATGGGGTAGGACCACTGCACATGTGCAAATTTGCGTCTCATTAGTCAGTGGAGTATCAAGGAGTTTCTGTGTAAATGCAGATGGCCTGCAAAAACTATTTGAGTATGGGATGCGTGATATTGCAGCTGGGCAGATTTTGGATGTGGCCTCTAGGATCTTTGCTTGCCATTTGGCATATGTGGATGTCAGAACGGGACTGGTGTTACTGATAAGGTGATGTGTCTGCCCAACTGATCATCAGGGCATGGGTGCAGAGAATGTTCTTTCCAGTCACTGGGTTGGGTATTGTGTGTGGTCACCTCTTGTTGCTGGATGGTAGGGGTGAAGGTGCACAGATCAGTGTTCAGTGGGCAGTTCTGGTTCTGAATGCACAAGTGCAAGGGACTGCACCTCAGGAAGTGGGTGATGGGCATTGTCAAGTGTGTGCTCTTCAGAAGTGGCCTCCTGTGCTGCAGGGAGGGGTGATAGGCATGACTGGGCTTGAATATATCAACTAGGGTCTTCTATATCTCATGGAGGGGGTTGTGGACATGGCTGGGCTTGCATGGGTTAGTGCCAGCAACCTGGGCTGCTAGGCAGGGGTGGTGGGCATGACTGGGCTTGTGCTGCTCAATTCAGTCCAGCTGCTCCTCAGGGACAGATAGTGGCTTGCATACCTTGGCTTTGTCTGCCTGTGCCTCAGAGAACATACTAATGCAGATGGCAGGCGGGGTGACTAATTTGCACAGGGTAAGTTTTCACAGGGGAGCCTTTAGTTGCTACTCTGTGGGTTGTTTTTCACTGGGTGGCTCAATCTAAATGGCGTGGAGCCTCTACCAACAAGCAGTTTGCTCTAATACCTAGTGCCCTGCCTTACTGCACTCACCAGAGTGGCTAGAGCTCTCAGACCGGCCCCACTTCTTCTCCCCTTTGCTCCATTAGAATTGTGTGCTCCATGTGTGTCTTCACTTTCTCCTTCTCTAAGGCTCACAAGGAGTACTGGTGTGGCACTGTGGGTTAATGTGCTGGACTGCAAGGTCTGTTTGAACCACAAGGTTAGTGGTTTAAGCTCACCAGCCACTCCTCGGAAACCTAAACAGAGTCGCTATGAGTCAAAACTGACTTAACCACCACTTCAAAAGGCTCACATGCCTCAGTCTGTTTTGCTTGCTCTGGAGGCACTTCCCTGTGAGTCCCTGGTTTCAAAACCATACCCCTTCTGTGTGTCCTCCCTGGTGTGGTGTGCTCCATTCCTGGCTGTATCCTACCCACCTTGTCATTGCTTTACGGGATTGTTTGCATGGATTCTCTGCCACTAGCTATGTTCTCTATGTGGTTGCTTTCTCGGTTTCCTCACTCCAGGTTGATGTTCCATCCAGTCCCAGAATGACCATCCTGCTCTGCACCAGCAGGCACAATGTGATGGATTCGGGGCCTCTGTTTACCTGGTTGTCCTCGTTCTACCTATTCTTCCAGTGGCACTCTTCAATACTCTATTTGATTCTCTGGGATCTGAAGTCATTTTTTGTTTCTATTTTACTTATTTTTTTTATTCTTTTGTTCCAGGAAGTAGATAACTGTGTGTCTAAAACACCATATTAACTATAAGTCCTCATTATCTCTTTTAATCTTCACAAATCCTAAATCCTAATGTGATGGCTCTTAGGATCAATATTTAAATTTTAGAAATAATGAAATATAATTCAAACCTAAAGGTAATGAATAAATTACATGGTCAAATTAAATAATTCTTTTAAAAATTGGTTTACTACTCAGTATGGACTTCTGGCATAGCACTGTAGCATCAGCACTGCACTGCAAACCAGAAGGTCGGCAGTTCAAACCTACCAGTTGCTCCTAGGAAACCCTATACAGGGTCGCTATGAATCAGAATCGACTCTCCAGTACTTTACACCAATAAAAACAATGACTCTCATATGCTAGAGTTCTTGCATTGGGGGAGTATTAAGCTCTGAGAGTCCAGGTAAAATCATGGTTTATACTTTCATTTATAAAAAGAGACTTCATCATAAAAATGAATATAAAGGATAGTTTGATGTTTTTAACATTTTCATCATTTTAATTATTTATATTTCAATCCTACACTTTTACAGGTACCTACAGAATATTGAGCATACAGAACCAGGATCTTAAAACTTCATCACCTTGAATTAAGGATTTGTTTGCTAACCTTGATCTCTACTCAATATCAAGTAACAGTGTTTTTTTTTGTTTTTTTTTTTAAGAATTAACATATTTACACTAAGGAGATTTTGGAACATAATACTACCCAGACTTTCCAATGCCTAAAAACAGCAAGGTGGTAAAAAGAGAATTAGATGATGAGGTTATTGAATCTGTCAAAGACCTCCTTTCAAATGAAGACTCAGCTGATGATGCTTTTAAGAAGAGTGAATTAATTGTTGATGTTCAAGAAGAGAAAGAGATTGATAATGAAGAAGGATCTGAAGTTGAAGATGAAAGACCAGCTTGGAACAGTAAACTACAATACATCTTGGCCCAAGTTGGGTTTTCTGTAGGTTTAGGGAATGTTTGGCGATTCCCGTACCTATGTCAGAAGAATGGAGGTGGTAAGTTCTTATTTTTCCATTCACACATCATTGTAATCAATTGCAATTTGATTCCTCAAGTAGCTCCAATTGTTGTTAGAGTCTCATTATTTTACAAACTATGAATGCCATTAAAAAGCTGAAAAGATTCCTTTATATGTGAGGTAAAACCCAACTCTGTTTTCAAATTAGGTTTCCATAGAAGCAGATTGTTTTCCAAGAGATATGTAGTCAATACTTAAGTGTCCTGAATTTTCAGTCTTTCTGTGGATGCTCAAATATCTCAAAATTACTGACCTGAACTTCTTCAGGAAGTATTTCATTTCTAGTTTCTTTTTGAAGAATAATCAAAAGTTTCTGATATTTAGGAAAATTGGGTAAGGAAGACAGAATTTTCTCCCTGTGATTTATTGATTTTGAAGTATAAGTTGCCTCAATCTTTAAAAAAACAAAGATGACATATAATGTACATATGATCATCTGAATGATCATAGTCTTCAGATGCTTATGAGAGATTTTTAGATCCTATTATATTATAAGGGGTGTCCTATAGGACGGTCTTCATTCTTAGATACCTTTCATATTCAATTTTCTATTATCTTGGGGACAATGTTCAATTTCAAAGAAAACTTTATCAGTAGCCTGCATTCTAAAAGAAAATATCTGTCACCATTGATATTGTCACTATTTTGTACTTTTGCATATAATTATTAGGGAAATATGGCAATGATTAAAAACCTATACAAGGGAATTGGCTCTATAGGATACTAGCTCTGTAGTATACCAAAATCAAATGAAATGTTACATTAACTAACATTTGGATAGAAAATTGTCCAATTCCATGAAATCGGTTCAAGCGTTGTTAAAACTATGTATACAATCTGCCACGCATTTCGACCCACAAAGAATAAAAATAATATTTTGGTATGTGATTCCAGCATGTAATAGTTTGTTAATGAGAAAAAAAAATATGCTTTCTATTTTTAATGAAGCTTTAATCTATAAAACCCTACATCAAATACAGTCATTGCAATGAGAAAATTCATCTTAATCACTAAAAGAGATACACATTTGTTAAAGTGTTACTCTGACTAAATATACTTCTTAAGATCTTTGTAAATTTAACCAACTACAAAGCAGTTAAGACCTGAGAGCTAAGAATCAATACATGAAGCCGGTGGTACACTACACATCATTCTAAGAAATTGTCAGCATTTCAGCTAGTCCATAACCTCACATATGAATTATTTATCAAATTATCTATACATAGTTATGTACTACCTTGCTTTTTTGTTTTTCACAAATCATTTCGTTTGTCAAGAGTGAAAGACCTTATAAAACTTTATCTTAAGAAAGATGGCTGCTTTGTTTGCATTGTCAGGTTCTTTCCTTTTAGGAAAATTTCTTGGAGAGCTCTGAATGATTCCATATTTTGTAATTACTAGCAAATTGTCATTCCTAATATTGTGTCCTCTCTTCTATACACAAATACTAAAGATAGGCTGTATATCCATTATATAATACAAACAGTTTATTTTAAGATGACTGTAAGAAACGCTGGTGGCCCTGAGAGTTAGGTATTGGACTGCTTACAGAAAGCCTGGATGTTCAAATTTACCAGCTGCTCTGCGGGAGAAAAATGAGGCTGTCTGCTCCTGTAATAGGGCCGCTATGAGTCAGAATCAACTTGATTGCAATGGGTTTTGTTAGGAATGCAAAATGCTTACTCAACATGCAGAACAGTCATTGTTGTTGTTAAGTGCCATCGAGTTGGTTCCAACCATAATGACCCCGTATAGGGTTTCCTAGGAGTAGCTGGTGAGCTTGAACTGCCAACCTTGCAGTTCAAATGGCTTTGTAGTCTGAAGCATTAACACACAGCGCCACACCAGGACTCCACAGGAGTAGTACCTTCTGATTAAATCAAATAGCTCAAGCTATCTACATCTTGTTGATTAATTATTTGGGGTACTTTATAAATGATAGAACTAAAAGGTAGTTGTTGTTAAGTGTTATAGTCAGTTCCGACTCACAGCACACCTGTATATGGTTTCCCAGTAGCAATTAGCTGTTGGGTTTGAACCACCTACCTTGTAGTTAGCAGTTCAGTGCTTATCCTACAGTGTCACACCAGGACTCCTGTTACATTATACTGTTGTTGTTGTCAAGTGTAGTTGACTCAATTTGACTCGTGATGACTCTGTATAGGGTTTCCGAGGAGGGACTGGTGACCTTGAACCACTGACCTTGCCATTCAAACCTACCTTGTGTTCCAGTGCATTAGCGCCACACCAGGACTTCCTTATATTATAAATGCACCACCAATTTAGGGAAAAGGAACTGTGGTAGTGTAGTGGTTAAAAATCGGGCTGCGAACCTCAAGGTCATCAGTTCGAAACTACAAACTGTTCCGCGGGAGAAAGATGAGGCTTTCTGCTCCTGTAAAGATTTACAGCCTAAGAAACCCTGTAAAGGGTCTCTATGAGTCAGAATCGACTCCATGGCACATAACCAACAACCAATTTAGGGAAGCAGGCTTGTATACATTCTTTATTATAGAGATATTTAGATGCTGAGATAATTTTTAAAAACACATTTATTTTTACATCTTCAACAGAATAACTGACAGAAAAATTTGAAAACCCCCTAAAGTCTATTCAGTTAAGATTGCTGTAGTTGTTATTGTTAAGTTCTGACTCATAGCAACCCTGCATAGGATTTCCAAGGAGCAGTTGGTGGGTGTGAACTGCCAACCTGTGGTTAGCAGTTCAGTACTTATTTTAGAGTGCCACGCCAGTTATGAACGTTTATTGTTGTAAAGTGCCATGGAGTCTATTTTGGTGCATAATGACCCTGCACAGGCTTTCTCAGGAACAATCAGTGGATTTGAACTGCTGACTCAGTGCTTATACTACAGTGCCACATTAGACTTAAAATAGAACCAAATATAATAAGTAGCACAAAACATAATAAATAGCTTATTTTAGACAATATTTCAGAGAAGAAATTTGAATATAGGAAAATTTGAGGTTACTTAATAAGAAATCATTGGAGTTCTGGTGTTGTGCTATAGGATAAATACTGTACTGCAAGGGTGGTTTGAACCACAAGATCCGGGGTTCAAACTCACCATTTACTCCTGGGAAACCCTATACAGGGTTGCCATGAGTCAGAACCAACTGAGGGCATTTAACAACAGGATCACTTCCGTATGTAGTCACAGGTAGAAATTAGTACAGGTCTTATGTGTATTATTTTAAATCCCATAACTCGTGTCTTGTCCTGTGGTTGCTGTAGGATAAGCACTGGTCTGCTTACCTCAAAGTTGATGGTTCAAACCCACTAACTGCTTCTCTGGAAGTCTGTACAGTGTCTCTATGAGTCAGAACCTACTCAACGGCACTTAAAATCATAATAACAATGTCTTTTGAGTAATATTGTGAAATCATTCAATATATTTTTTAGTCACTAGTCATATGTTTTAATGTGTGAGTTACTGAAAAAAATTTTTTTTTCAAAGTATAGAAACTTTTCTACAAGATGAATAGTGTATGTACTTTTTTTTTTTAAGGTTTTTATTGTGGATTGAGTGAAAGTTTATAGGGCACATCATGAGTTTCACATTCAACAATTCATAAAATTTGTTTCATTACAATGATTATTATCCCCTCCATATACCATCAGTTAA